ACATAAAATATCTATATAAATTAATCTTAGGGCGCAAACCATGTGCAGGCTTTAGTCCTCAGTCATCCAAATCCCATATTGAGTCATTTAGTGTGTTAGAAATGAATGTTGTGAATCTTGGTGGTTTTCCTTTATCACAGTCAACATTATATTAAGTTTCCATAGCCTAAGACTAGTATGAAAATATGAACTAATAAATGAAGCAAAAAAGAAAAAAAGACCACTTTTAAATCGAAATAGTCCCCCATATGAAGTTGCTCTGTGCTGTAAAGCAGACCTGTTGTAGTTGGAAAACTTTAATTCATGTTTTAATACATTTAAATATATTAAGTATATTAATGGAATTTAGTACATTTCGTTAAAAGAACTTATATAAAAAAATTATGTAAGACATGATTCTTGCCTCTTTGGTATAAGAATGAAATATCTTTAGATGCTAGAATAAGATTTGAGCCCCAAATGTTGAGTTTGTGGCATTTTCTCTTACCCCAATGTACAAATAGAGGAGAAAGTGTTTCTTAGAACAAAATTGATACTTTTAACGTATGGTTTACCTGATGATGTATGAGGTCAGCCCCCGTACTGGTTCCTTCATGAACAGAGGTAGCCTTCAGAAGGCACTGGGCAGTGGGAATCTGTGGAGCATGATCAGAGAGGGGCATCTGCAGAGTGTTCCCAGTCCTGCCACACATCCTGGGAAAGATGCACTTTGGCTGAATTAGTTAGCTATCTAAATAACAATAATTTCACCTAAAATTTATCACTTTATGAGAAAACTTATGTCTGTGGGTTAAATATTGAAATGCAGTAGAAAAATTATTTTTTGTGGACTGCATTTTTATGAACTGAGTAAATCCAATTTCTTCTTTAATTCTTGGCTTCACTTTCTATGGGTAGAAAGCAAAATATACCTGTTGAATAGATAGCTTCTTTACTTCCTGGTTCATTTGAAATTCATAGCCCAGTGTCAGGTTTGTTGTATTTAGTAAATTGTTGAATACTGTGTTTTATCTTTTTTAAAGAGCAAAATCCTCTGCCCAGTGCCTGAAAATTAGTCTTTTGTAATAATAACTGCTTTATTCTGGGCTTGGGACAAAGACTAACTTTTCCTTTTCCTTTCAGCACTGTAGATGAATATTCACCACAAAGAAAGGTAAGGCAGACCCTTCTATATCTGAAATTCGGTGATCAGGTAGGAGTCCTAGCCTTGCCTAATTAGGCATTTCTTCATAATTAAAATGAAACCTGCCTCAAGTGTAATGGCAAGGTGGGGAAGCCTGGGGTTGCAGCTTGCCTGCACTTTCCTGCTTTGCTTTAGTTTCCCATGTCAGTGCAGATCTGATTTCAGCCATGTGCCCTTGGCTTTATGACATTCTGCATACCCTGTGATGCATTTCGGAGTCTTGGAGCTCCCTGCTGTCCACAGAGTGATATAAATTTGAATTTTAAAATGCTTAAGCAAAAAAAAAAAAAAAAAAAAAATCTAGGCACAAATCTTGACTCCAAGAGTAAAGAAGTCTCATAAGGAAAGGGTTTGCTCTTTCAACATGACAAAGGGATGTTAGCAAGCATTAATGATGTGTTCCAGTTTAACTTGATGAAGGGAAAATGCAGGGTGAGATGTCAGGCAGGAGTTTTGGAGAAGCTTACATAATGAACAGTGTACCTGTTTCCCTTAAGAAAGCCATTGTACGATAGCAGAAGTATGAAACGATCTCAAAGTTGCTGCTGTGAAAAATGTAGAAAGCAGATCAGACTGTGATAACTAACTTGGAGGTTAATGTTGGCATGGGGAAACAATGTCTTTCTCAGAAGACTCTATTATAGATGTTTGTAGTAGCCAAAGGTGAAAAGTTGTGCAAGTATTCTCCAGCATGTTTCAGGGAATAATTATAGGGGCCTTTTCCCTGCTACTGGCCTTGGCAGGGGCCCATCATGTTGCTCAGAATCTCCATGCATTAATTGAGGCCACTCCCAATTTATTTCTCTATGAGTGGATGGGTGGATTTTATTTTTTTTAAATTGGCTGGCTCTTTTGGAACATGTTGTAAACAGCTCTGATTTTCCAAAGGGCAGGAATACATTCATTCATTGTTCTCTTTCTCCCTTCTCACAGAATAAAGCCCTTTTCCACCAATTCAGTCTTAAGGAGAACTGGCTCCAGCACAGAGGAACTGTGACTGAAACAGAGGAAAGTGAGTACGATTTTAAGCTCGGGTTCGGGGTGGGTGGAGTAGCAGTCAGTCACCATCATTTTCCTACACTGACACATTGGCCTACCTTTAACCATGATCTCCAGCTGTCATACCCCTCTGACAAGCATGTTAGCATCAAATTGGGTTGTTTTTCTTTTCCTGATTTGAGCATTACAGTTTTCTTAGATCGTATCTATCATACTATCTCAACGACCAAGGATATTTTTAATTTGGGCAGCAAGGAAAAGAGACTGCAAAGGGCCTCCTTGTATTCTTGAGCAGAAGAGCAAAATGGACTGGAAAATCAACATTTTTTTCCTCCCTGGCTTCATCAGCCCTCACCTATGATTAACTGGAAAGACCACCAACGGCAATGTGCAGGGTTTTGGTTGAGTCACTCCCTGAGATTTAGAGAAGAAAATCTTGGAGAGAATAATGGAAGGAAGGCAGTACAGCAGAAATCCCTCCAAGGCAAGGCTGTGGCGGGCAGTGCCACAAATCCAGTGTGTCCTCAGTCAGTGCTCACTAGTGCTGAAGGGGCGCATGATCTTCCATGAACACGGCTGTTCGTGAAATCCAAGGGGCAGCACCTTTTTTACACCCCGAAGGTGCTGACGTGCTTCTCTATGTTAGTATTTTAGAGCAAGAAATGGTTTCCTCCTGTTTGAATAAAGGCTGCCAGATGCAGAGCCAGAAAACAGCACATTGACATGCTCACACTGTTAGGACTTTGGGATGCTCTCTTTTAACTCACCTTTCTCTGTGTGCTGAAATTCTAAGCATGAACATTGAACATTTACCTAATGTCTTGAACATTTAAAAAACAATATCACAGGACGCTTCTTGTGTTACATGGTGTTTGTGTATAATGCCGCTGGTAGATGGGGCTCTGCTGCATCATATCAAGTATCATCTGCACCAAGTGAGAGAGAGAACGAAATTGTCTTACCTCCTCATTCATTAGTTGCTGACCTTTTTTGCCCATTTATCTTATAATGTAATTCTACGATTTCCTAGCTGTGCTTTAGAGAGGCCAAGTGTTCCAAGGCCCTTGGCCTCTTTTTGTTCATCAGCTCCTTGAGCAAGCTGTAGGCTTACCTTATACTGAGTGGTTTGTAGACCGGGTCTTTGCCTTGCTCAAAGATTCCATTTCTCTGTGGATGAAGGAAGCCTTTTTTCCCCTCTTACAAGTCAGTTGACAAAATACAAAAGAGCTGTTTGTAAGATGCTATCGTTTTAGTGACACACCCAACCAAACCAACCAAAATATGTCAAATGCCTCCTGGTGCTGTGTTTACCTTGAGGTTCCATACGTGTAAACTCATGGTTAGGCTTTTGCTTCATTTGCATTTCTATGAAAACATTCCTGGGTTTATTTTTGTGGTACCATTTAAATTGCATATAATATTTCTCTAGGAGCTGCACTCTAATGTTTTTCTTTTGCAGTACAGAAAAGTAGAATATCCAAGTATATTATTGTCTTTCTGTCTATTCTAAATGAAGCCAGTGTTTTGTACATTCAGAGTAGCTGCTATAAGAAAGTGTCAATTATCTCCATTGCTATTAAAACCATTTCTGCTATTCAAATCATAAAGAATAATTCTTCTAGGACCCATTCACCCTGATAGTGATAATGTCCTAGTAATAATTATTAGCACTGCAGACAATGAAAAGGAAATTTAAAATGCTAGAAATATGACCTCCATTTGGAAATTAAACTCACCATCACCTTGATGAGAGAGAAGAGGAGTCACTCTTAAATGACTGGAAAAGCTGAACACAAAAACCAAGGCAGATGACATATTTTTAGATAAGCTTATGAGAATTCTAATAGCAAAATGTGGTGTTCTTGATTGGGCTACTGAGACTATCCTGAAATGGAATATAAAATAAAAATTAATGAATTAGACATTTTAGTATGCTGCTTTGGGAGATCTCAGCAACTCTCAAAGAAGGGATTCAGAAGTACAGTCCATATACCACAGATTCCACTGTACAAAGGTCAAACAGCCTCTTCCAAGAGAACACACTTGCATGACCTGGGTCTCTCGTTACAGTACGGGATGCCTGAATACTACTCGTGCTTGCTCACCAGCTCTGTAATGTCTGTGTCTCATGTGTTTGCAAGCACACATTTATAGGCATAAACCCTCAGGCACTCATGTGCATACATAAATATATAGATCTAGCTGTGTATGCTTTATACTAAAGACAATAGCAAGGTGGGTGCCTTGATTTGGAAAAGTCTGTATCACCACGGTTCTCTGTTTACAAACAATTCTTTTGACTTGTGCAGTCTTTTGCCACGTGTATGTAATGGAGCACTCCTATGTCAGCGTGAAGGCAAAAGTTTCCAGTACATCCCAGGAGATCCTGAAAGTTGTGGCAGAAAAGCTCCAGCATGCAGAAGAGGATCTGGCTCTGGTGGCCATCTCGTTCTCTGGGGGTAAATTATTTTCTGTCCTTGAATGTTACTCTTTCACTGGATCTCCTCCGAAAGGATAGAGTTGAAATTTTTGTAGAGAGAATGTGTACCTCGGATCTGGCTCTGGTGGCCATCTCGTTCTCTGGGGGTAAATTATTTTCTGTCCTTGAATGTTAATCTTTCACTGGATCTCCTCCGAAAGGATAGAGTTGAAATTTTTGTAGAGAGAATGTGTAGCTCACCCTCCTGGGCCCGCAGCTGGATGACCACAGAAACAATACGAAACTGCCTACCAGAGGTGTTTCCATGACAACAGTTGGGTACCGTTGGATGCTGAATTTCTCCCCAAGAGCTAAATAGAGAGGCATGCCAGTGTTTGGAAATGCATTATAAAGCTTTTTGTGTTTTGTACTCTAGATAAGCCTTCTATTTTCATATTTAAATTAGCCTGGAAATTGCTAAAGGATGAAATTGGGGGGGAAAAAAAAGACAGCCTTGAACTAGTCGTATCGACAATTTAATAGTTAAAGACTCCCTATTGAAAGAAAGAAAAACTGTACAATAAGCTGAAAGCTCACCAGGCAGTGTTCCTTCAGGTGGACGTGGGGAGTGAGGCCTGATTACAGCTTCTCCTTCTGTCGGGCTTTATTTATCCTTAGAGAATGGTTTATTGTCTGTTTTGAATAAGATCACACAGATTACAAGCTGACAGTATTGATCTGTGCGGCCTGAGCAGACCCCTTCGCTTTGACTGCAGCCTGTCAGATTTCAATGTTGCTGGCCTCCTTTCTGGCTTGCAATCTTTATTTAATATCTCATTAACCCTGAGAAAAATACAAAGAAAGTGACTTAGCATCAGTAGTTGAAAAATGGGGGTACTATGTGACTAATCAACCAGAGATGGGGGAGGGGGCAGATATCTGGCATTCCTGTTTACCCGTGGTTATCATTCTATAGTTGGGAGATGCATATCAGAATATACTTGATGTTAAAGTATTATGTGACAGAATATTGCTCCTATTGCTTTGTTGCTCACAGGCAGGTAAAATGGCCCTGCAAGCATATGTCGATGACATATTGCAAACAAAGCCCTTTTCTCTAGGCCTACTTAACAGTCTGTCCTCCCTCTCCCAGGACCCTCTTTGTACATCCTAGCGAAACGTTATCTGGAAAAAACGAGCAAGGATTTGAGGAACATGTGGACTAAATGAATTTTAATCAGGGAGTGGTTGAATTGTTAATAATATATTTCAGATACTTCAGATAGAGATAATAAACGTATATTATATTTATCAAGTGACCAAAAATATTAAATGATTTTAAACAGCATTAAGCTTCATCAGAACCAGCATTTGCCTCTCAAGATAGTTCCACTACGGAAAGTAATCACTGGGTCCCCATTCAGATGGAAGGTTCTGGAGATGGAAGGGCCAAGTGGACTTTGCTCAGCTGAGACCTGTCTCTCTTGGAAGCTGACTCAGAGTCAGCCCAGGGCCACATAAGAATCTGACAATTAATGAGTGGCTCTTTCACTACCCAGTATCTACTTGATGGCTGTGAAATACCATTTTCACACTCTATTAAGTTAGATTCATCAGGGTGGGCAATGGTGTTCTAATGTGTGTAGACCAATTGCTAATCATCACTAGAAATACCAGCTTATCTCTTGAATTATTCCACAGATTTGGAAACGTGCCATTGTTTTGCATCCATTAGTTTTTTTTTTTGTTTGTTTGCAAAGAATCTTTCTGCCTGTATCTTATTATTCCTCAAACAATAATGTTTTAATGAAAGAAAAAAATAACAATGTAATCATTGCTCTAGTTATACAACTTTTAATAAATAATGTCTTAATGCTACTTCAAAATGAAATAACAATGAGGTCTGTTTTTTTGGTTTTGTTTTTTGTCAAAAAAAGTTTAAAGATGTGGGAAATGTTGGAGGTTTTGTGGGTTTTTCTAAAAGGAGTGGCACTATCGTTCTCATAGCTTCAGTAGGTTTCTACCTGTTTGTACCCAGGGTAGGTACATGTATGTGGTAACAGTAACCTATCTAGTTGTTCAGAGGTTAAAATTCTTTCAGTTTTAATCTTTTATAGTGTAGTGACAAACGTGAAAATAAGAAAAAAAGTTTCATAGCCAATAGAAAAATTGCTGTCAGAAAGCCACAGCATTTTCTTCTGTGAAGTGTGAATGGCTCTCCTAAATTCAGACTGAAGGCATACATAGGCACATAGGGGCCTTCAAGAAATTGTAACTTAAACAAAGAAAAGGGAGATGAAAGAGTTTCAGAACCCAGCCACATGGAACCATTTACTACACGTCAACATCCCAACATTATAGCACTATTGATCTTTATAATGCTGGGCCATAAGGAATATATTAGATTATCACATGTGTGTTCTGTATTGAGCCAAAATGTTCAAAACAAATTTGGCATTTAAACTGATTAAGGTATCTAGAAAGAGGTATGTAGAGTATTGCATTTCCCAGTCGTCCTGGATAATTGAACGACTACCTTTGAAGAAGCTGATTGTGTCACAGTGGAATAACTTTAGTATTATTTTGGTCTATTCCATTATGCATTTTGTAGTTAGGAGGAGGGCATTTTTCTATGAAAAAAGATATTGTATTATTAGAGGGCTCCAACTGTGGTGGAAAAATGGTCAAAGGATAGAAACAGTTTTCAATAAGGGAAATAAAATAAAAGAGGAATATGTGAAAAATATTCAACCTCATTAGTATTCAAGAAATACAAAATAAAGAATCTTTTTTTTTTTTGGTTTTAGCGAAATAGTAAACTTACCAAAAGTAATGATCAGTATTGGTCAATGTACAAGTTTTAAACCTATTTTTAGGAAAATACATTGATTTCTTTTTTTTGACTGGTAAGGGGATCGCAACCCTTGCCTTGGTGTTGTCCGCACCATGCTCAGCCAGTGAGCGCACCGGCCATCCCTATATAGGATCCAAACCCGCGGCCTCGGTGCTACCAGCACTGCACTCTCCCGAGTGAGCCACGGGGCCGGCCTACATTGATTTATTTTCTAAAAAATGAGAATTGGAAAGCAATTGGCAGCTTGTATCAGTACTTTTAAAATATTCATTCTCTTTCCCAGCAATTCCAGTACTGGGAATCTATCTTAAG